TTCGGTTGATCAACTATTCTATTTTCTATTATAGGAGCTCCTTATTAATCGGCAAGATGTAAAGAGTAAGATGTCAAGAGTAAGATGTCAAAGGAAAATGTTTTAAACAATAACGAAACTGATTGTGTACAAAATTGGATAAGTGTACCAGACAACTCTCCCCCAAAAAATAACAAAAAATAACGGACTATATTTTATAGAAAAATTATACAAATGCCATAATGCCACACGCCAGCCTTTCGCCAGTCTTCGGGGTCGGAAAAACAATATATTTTTCTTGATGATTACTACCATTAAATAAAATATGATATATGCGTTGCTGAGTTTTAAAAAAATCTTTGATTTCCTAAAATCCAACTTTTTTCCTTAACAAGTATTATGGAAGTTATTAAAAAAATGACTTATTGTTCATTTGATAAAAGAACTAATAAATTACTTTTCACCATTAAACAGTATACTCATACTCCAAAAATAGTTAGATATGTTCAAAGTAATTATGTTAGAACTCCAATATACGAGGGTTATTCAGAAAGAATAAAAGTAATAAAAAAAATTTGATAAGGTAATTAATCCCATAAAATTTGTGAGTGAGGATATTTTAAAATTAGATTTAGAAAAACGTTTTATTCTGTCTATCATTGAAAAGATTTCAATAATTCCAGAATGGCGAAAAAAGGAAATAGAATTAGAAAAAATTTTAAATTTGATAAACGCTACAAAGCGACGCAAGCGTAATTATCACAATGAAAAAAAGAAATATTGGTTTGAAAAAACAAATTTTAATGAAAAACCAAGCAACTTTTGACTTCGTTTAATTCTTGCTCCTTTTACTTTAGGTTTTTCATTTATCGGTTATAATAGTAAAAAACAAGCTTCACTAAACAAGCAAACTAATAAAGATAATAGAGAATGGAATGCAAGGCATAAAATAAAAATTGATCAAGAAAATTCTCTTCTTTCAAAAGAAATAGAATCGTTTAATAAAAAATGGATAATATTATTTCTCTTAATTGAAACTTGTATAAACAAACGAAGAACAAAGAAATAAATTATCGTTATAAAGAAACTGATGATGGTTGAAGGGAAATAAAACATCTTCCAATTTTTCTTTTTCTTATCTTAATGATAAAAAGGAGTTTATATCATCTGAAATAAAACAAAAGATAAACATTATGTAGGACAGTCTAAAGATTTAGGCAAAAGATTAAATCAACATTTTTCAAATGGTGAGGTTAGAAATGTTATATTCACAAAAGATTAATATTCTAATGATCACTTTTATTATAAATACCTTCTTTGTCAAACAAAAGATGAGTTAGATTCTTTAGAAAAACAAAAAATTGATGAGTTTTTTCTTTTGATAGAGGATATAATTCTACTGGTGGAAATAAATAAGTTTAAAATTACCTTTTAAGAAAATAAATGAAAGAGTCTATTTTTCATTTTGATTAATTGAAAATTCCTTTGCCTAAAAACTAAAAGGGGAAATAATTGGTGTAAAATCTATATAATTGTCAAAATTTTTAATAAAATTAAATTAAAAGAGATTTTTTAAAGGGAGTAAAAGAAACCAAACTTATATTACTGAATTAACCCAATATCTCTTAAAAATTTACAAAAAATAAAAGATTATGACTTTTCTTGCCTTTGGTAATCATACTATTCATAGTTTGCTTAATTCATCTTATTTTACTTTAAAAAAGATCATTTTAAGGGATGAACTCAAAAATGATAAGGATTTACTACAGTTATTAAAAGAAAAAAGATTTCCTATCAATTATTAAATAGAGAACAATTTTCCCGTTATAGTTTTGATAAAAAGAGTCAAGGGATAGTTGCTTTTATTAGTGATTATGATTATGTTTCTCTCTCTTATTTATTGTCTCGTCAACCCCAAAGAGAATTTCCGTTAATTATTCTTTTGGATGGCATTGGGGATCCTCACAATTTTGGTACAATTTTATGAACTTGTGCTGCTTTAGCAGTTGATGGAGTAATTATTGCAAAAAAAAACCAAGTGCCAGTTAATAGCACCGTCGTTAAAGTTTCGATAGGGGGAGTAGCTCACGTTCTAGTTTGTCAGGTAAATAGTATTACCGAAGTCATTAACTAACTTAAAAACTAAGAATACAAAATTATTTCTATCATTTGTTAACCTGGAATCCAAGAATATAATAAATTGGATTTTGATTTCTCTACTTGTTTAATTTTTGGTAATGAACATGAGGGGATTAGATCGAATTTGATTAAAAAAACTGATTATTCTTTTTATATACCCATGAATAATAATGTAGCTTTCCTTAATGTTTCGGTCAGTTGTGAAATTGTTTTAACTCACATAATTTTTCAGTGAGAAAAGCAAAGTTAAATTTATTTACTGAAAAATTTATAAACTTATAAAGTTTGTATATTTAAATTATAATTATATACAAGATATTATTAGAGTTCATAAGAGCTAAAGAAGATTTTTGATATAACGAATTTTACAATACAACAGATTATCAGTGTTAGACAGATTTTTAAATATAAAAAACCCTTATTATACCGAATTTAGTAATTAAAAATTCTTACTACGTTTAATGAATTAAAGTCAGAAAAATTTATATATAAAATGACTCTCTTTATAACGAATTTTCTCTATAACG